TTACTTTTCTGTTACATCACTAGTTCAATATTTTATTTCTTGCATTAAAAGGAAAATGATCTAATAATATTCTCTGAACATTTTATTATTAACTATTCCTATATTGACACTTGTGTGAAATTGGATAATTCATTAAATTTTTTGTAAATGATAATTGATTATCAAATTTGTAAAATTATACTAAATTTTCTTTGTGGATAATGAAATATTTTAGCCAATTTAAAAAAAAACAGAAAAAAAAATAATCATGTGTTGTAATAATAGAAAATTCTACAGAGTTAATGAATGGTTTCACCTGTTATAACATAACCTTTAATCTGGAGTTCCGGGTCAAACAAGTTTTAATTAATAAATGGCTAAACACGGAGAGAAAAACCTCAATTAGAATGGGTTAGATCATGATCTATTTTCATAATAAATTCCAATTAAAAATTCATTTTAAAAATAGCGCTTCACTGCAATACTTTGATGGACTGTTGTAATGAAGTTTGCAGTTTGTTTTAGAGTTATCATCTGTAATTAATACCTCACTGTTTATGCAATAACATCAAAACGAAATTAATCGGAGGTAACCACAGTGTATTAAGGAATTATTTATGTTTTGACCTTTAAATGAGTACTATCAATCGATTAACAATTATGTTATGCAAGGTGTCACAATAATGATTACAAAATAAGTTCATACAATTTAATAATGAATAAAAAACTTTTAAGATGACTATAGAATTATAAATATTAATATGTACAGTTGACAACTGAGAGATACAAATTTTAATAAAATTCAATGATTAAATTCATATTCTTTAATATAATTTTAATATTTTCTATTAATTAAATTAATTTTTTTTAAATTTTAGTAGCGCTTTAAATTTCAACGATTTTCCATTATTTTTCTGTTCTTTTAGACATTCTTTAATAAACGGATTGAGCTCAATTATTTCTAAGTAATCAAAATTTTCTGTTAAAATTAATATTAATTAAAGAAATGAAAAAAAACATGGATGCGAATTTCTAGATTAAAGATTACTTTCTCCAGTAGCGTTTGATTTTCTCTTTTAGTTTTTCTTTTCTTTTTTTATATACAAAATGTTACAACATATCACATATCATTCTATTACTTGTTATTTATAAGGCTATTTGTATCTTAAAAACACTACAATACAACCATAAATCTATATGAATGCAAATTATTTTGATAATGATAAAATGTTTAATGTTTTTTTTTTTTTTAAATTTAATTAATCATAAACAGAATTACACAATAAAATGTAAAGAACATTTTTTAAAAAATGAAGAAATTTGAAACTATATGAATTTATGAAATTAATAATAATAATAAAAAAAAACAAAAATTTCCCCCTCCAAAGATAAAATACAACTTGAAAAATGACAATGATAAATGTAACATTTCAAGAAAAGAGGCAGACTAGATCTTTTATTACAAACAACACTTATTGATATTATAGTGACCACTACAATGACCTAATTATTGAGTAATATATAATACTTATAATACAATCTTGAAATTATACACTCATTATTATTTTTTATTAAGAGTTCTATATAATAAAATCACTTTAAAAGATTAAATTTCCTTACATACTGTATCTATCATAAAGTAAATTCAAAGGAAATAGATTTTTTTTTTTTCGATCACTTAAAGTACAATAGGAAAAATCGATGCACGAGCCTCGAGATAAAAATATCTTTAAAATAATAAACTTTTATCAAATTATTTAAAACTTGTACGTGTTGTAAGTTTTATATAAAAATTTCAAGAAAATTTTAAATGATTTCGATCGGGAATATCGATTATATTTGATTGCTCGGTTGTGACCTTGATAAGGGATCTATAATGATTACTTTATAGATTATTCTTTATGCGACACGTGTGCACACGTAAAAGAACACATCATTTCCTCTTCCAATATAATTCTCTATATTTAAATAAAATAAAATTACTTTTCTAGTTTTAAGCAATTAAAATTTTAGAGCGTTAGGCGGGGTAGGCGAAGAAAAACAACATAAAAAAAAAAACATAACCGATTAATTAAAGAATTACGTTGATGTAGGTTAAAATTTGCACAAAATTCGTTCTGGATTTTTATTGTGTTCTACATTAGTATCAATTTTACCATTTTAATCCATTTATCGATATAAACTAAATGACAGTGACCAAATTTAATTGTTTTAAAGTAAAAAAAAAAAATTAAGAAATTAACTAAAGGGATGCTGTCAAGGATAACGTATGGAGTTCGAGTTTAAACTATAATTTTATAAAAATTTGCATTTATATTATAATAATGTCATGTGGTTATTACTCATTTATATAATAATATCACGTAATGCTTTGGTTCGTATATATATATATATATATATGTATAGGCTATATTTTTTCCAATTCTTTATAAGAGCTAAGGAGGAGTTCAAACAAATATTAAACATTTCTGAAGAGAAAAATCGATTAAAATTCGTTTATTGTCAGTCTACTATAGCATAAACTTATATAACAGTTCAATAATAATATTGTTATACTAAGTAAAATACTATAAAAGTAGTTTTTTTATTGTTTTAAATAAAAAATAACTTTCTAAGATGTATATAATATAAATTTTTTAATAAATGTTCATATATATATTTTTTTTTAATAGAAATTAATTATTACACATTTTAAGAACATAAAAAAGACTTTTATGATGTATTAATTAATAATGTTATTAACAATCGTTTACTATTGTATTGGGTCATTTATTGTTATATAAGATACACACAATATAGTGAAATTACAAATTTCTGTACAAATGTAAAGATAGAAAATAGGATTAGATAATTTATTATAATTTAATTGTTTAAAATTATTATCTATATCTTAACTTTACTCTCATATAAAAATCTCCCTTACATTGTATTTTAGATTAAGATAAATAAATTTTAAAAAAATCTTAAATTAATTCAATATAAATGTGTTAATTAAATTCAAAACTTCATATAAAAAGCAAAAATTAAAATAAATAAAATCTGTGTATTTATAATTAAAACTCGGATAAGAGTGATAACATTTTATTGATTAAATTAATATTTAAAATATCCATTCAGAATTTATTTAAAAAATCGTTAAGAATTTCTAATCAATTATCGCAGAGAATTTAATTATTTTTATTTTTATTTTTTCCTTCTTTTTTTTTTAGGTTCCAAGTCAATTTTATTTTAACTGAAAAGAGCACTCAAGATCCTAGAATATTTCTCATGTTACGTTTTCAATTAAGAATTGTCCTTACGTAATTAAATTTTTCAGTTAGAAAATGCTTCAAAATATAACTTACAAATGAATACGAGTTGATTTATTATTATAACAAGACTTTATATATATATATTGTAATTTTCTAATAATAAATATCAACAAGACAGTTATTAATAACCCAGTTATTTAACAGATGCGGTAGTAGACTAAGCTTTTAATATGGTAATTTTATTTTTATTTTTTCCTTTTTTTTAAGCATGAATTCTTACATAAACAATTTTAAATTTCCTCCTCCCATTTGCGTTATTATTAATATTAAAATTATCAAGAAGAATATATTTCCCCGCGGAATTTAGATTTAAATAATTGGCGCGACAACGGGTAGGAAAGACTTATCAATATTTATTATTAGAATAAATAGCCGTTTTCCTGATTGTGTAAACAGTTGTAAAGATTGTAGTTATGATAATATAAAATTCAATGCAAAGATGGAGCTACTAAAATCTAGAAAAACTGGTCAGAAGAGTTCTCGATCGTGGAACAACGGATACAACCTGCTTCGACGCCCACCTGGAAATGTCAGACAGATGCTGAACCGTAGGAACATAGATTAAAAAAAAAAAAAAAAAAAGATATCTAAAATCTGGAATTATTTAAACGTTCGAATGATTTCTGTTAAAATGTTTCATACAATAATAGAAAATATATTCAAATTACATAGAGTAGTGACGAGAGGAGATCTAAAACTACGGTTAAAAGTATAGGTTTTATGGCAATTTACCATGAAAATAATTTTAAAAAAAAGTGGTATAATAATAATAATTCAGAGCCTTATAATATAAATTACAGAAGTAGGCCTTATACAGTGCTGTCTTATCCATCCACAGCGCCTAGGGCCTACGAAATTAATAATTTTCTCAATCGGATACTGTTTTAATTATAAAATACATAGTAATTATATTGTTTCGATTAAAATGAATTAAATTGCTTAGAAATTACTTAAAAACTTTAACTTAAAAATTACATTTAAGAAATTAAAAAGTGTCTAAGGCCTATGGAATGCTTAATGAGGCCTTATATTTTAATTTTTAAAGCGTAAAACTCCCGTCTATGGTAAAAAAAAAAAAACGCTGTTGTAAGTACAGGAGTTTGTGTAAGTGGAATAATATTATATTAATAATAAATTATATTACTCGAGTAAATAATTTTAAACTTAAGTACGTATATATAAATATATTTCATCGGGAGTAGAAATATTTTAGCAATATACGGTTGTAAATTGGCAAAAGTATGATGAGAATTGGAGTTAACTGCAACATTCTGCTAAAGGTTTATAAATAGTACAGCCTTTTTTACCGACTAATAAGTAAGATGTTAAGCGTTTTAATTGATGTTTTCGTACCTGATTTGGTTTCCGCACGCCATACCTTTAAATAATATTCCGTTCGTGTGTTGTTCTATTAAAAACTGCGGCTTTTAAAAATATGTTTGTATTAGTAAATTTCACATTTGGATATATTTTTAGTAACGCTCATCGAATACGAAGCGATATCAGCATTTTTATTTCGAATTATTTCGGTTTTTTTTTTTCGTTTTTTCCTTCCCCCGCACCCGCGTATCGTTAAAGCGGAGACGTAGAATCAAATACGTCATCGAATCGTATGCATACATATATATACGTATTATATAAATATTATTATTAATATTTTTCTACTTCCGCAAAAAATCCGGATTTATTTTCCGGTTCTTTTCGTGACGTCACATCCGCACGCATGCTCAATCATGATAAGGTTTATGCCCTGGAGTTGAGTTGAAAACAAAAACGTCTTCTGCTCACCGAGATACACGCGAAGAAGATATTTACGATTGCAAAGGTTACTAAAAGAAAACTGTTTTATTAAGTCGTTAACAGAGAATATGAAGAGGCGTAATGCCGAATGTGGAAAGATTAGAAGAGCCGTGAAAAGAACAAAGATTGCCGAAGGGATCTATGGAAGGTAAGCCTAATGTTTGGTAGCGGAGATGGAGATGCGAGAATCTCGTGCAGGGTCCGCGAGATGACAGAATCGCGTTGAAACTGATTTATTTTCGCGACGTAACGAAAATCCATGTGCTTGACACTTCGTCTATTTATCGTTATCGTTTTCTTTTTTTTTTTTTTTTACTTTGTTTAACTGGCAATAACCGTGAAACGTGTCCGTATCCGATTAATTATTATTCTTCTCGCGTTTTTCTTATTTTTTTTCTATATATATTTTTTTATTTAATACGTCGTTGACATTATCAATTTTCGAATTTTTAATTGGATGTCAAGGTGACTCCTGGGCTCTAACACTTACGTAAGTTTATCTTGTAAACGTATGAAAAATATCATTTAAATTATATATATACTGTATACATATATACGTGTGTGTGTGTGTGTGTATTAAAAGCAGTTTTGCGTAAGAAAAGTAAATATTTATAATGGACGAATCGAGGATTTGATTATCGAATGTAGGATTTTATTCACCGATTCAAAAATTATAAATATCAAAGTTATATATAGGAGAAATTGTCATCTGTTGTGGTAGTTGTCATACCTTTGTATGCAGTGTAAAATGTGATAGAAATTGCTGGATAGTTTTAGAAATATAGTTTGATATATTTTAAATGTCTTATAAGAAAACTGTTAAATTTTATTACTTATAAAAAAGTTATTTAAAAATTTTTTCTTCACTATAACACTTGTTATTTTATAAACAAAAAATTTAATGTTTTTTGATTGATGTAGAATTTTTATCTGAATTTTGAAATTATTTTTAATCATTAATAACATTAATTTAACACATTTTAATCATAAAAATTAAAAAAAATCGTTTAAAAGATATCTATTTGATGTGGTGACATTAGTTTGTTATTCAATTACTTTAAAATTTAAAAAAATCTATCAGTTGTACAGCCTTTATTTTTAAAATACAGTACTAATTTATGTCAAAACTACAATTATTTGGTGTTGACATAAAGTACTCAATTATAACGAACTTACATAACATCAAATAGACATAAAAGAATTTTTTCTATTAAATAAACAGCATAAATAAAAATTATCATCAAATATAGAAAATAAACTCTTATAAATTAGTAATAAGTTAAGAAACAAACTAAATGATTATTTATATTTTAATTTTTATGAAGTCTGATATGAATTTTAAGAAATAAGTAAATAAATTATTTACTTACATAATAGAGGTAATGCCATAAGGCAAGGAAAACCTTTCTCATGTATAACAATGATAATAGAACCCACTAAAAATATAAAAGAAGCAATAAATTAAGATGAATTAAAAAGATAAAAATATATTGTTAAAAACTTAATCAAACAATTTGTTCTTGTTGTTTACGTTATTTCTTTCATATATTTATTTGTTTATAATATAGCATTCACAATGGTATATGTTTTGTAAAAATATAAATTTGAAGTATACTAATAACAATAATTAAAAAATTCTTAAATATAAATTTTTAGTATATTGTTATATATAAATATATATGTATGTATATATAATTGTAGGATGAGTTGACATTTACAATATATATATTTTCTTGGTGACAAAAACTTTTCCTGTAATTACAATGACATTATACACGAAGTGCAATATTATAAATATAGATTTTATTCATATAATATAATCCATCACACAAAAAACCTTTGTAACTCCAATGATACGTGTTTACAAAACAGCGAACATTTTCAACCTCATCCAGGTCTTTCTTGTTCCATTTCACACACATTCGAATTCCTCATAACCGTAGCCTGATGAAGACCTGGATGGGGTCGAAAACGTTCGCTGTTTTGTAAACACGTATCGCTAGAGTTACAAAGGTTTTTTTGTGTGAATTACATTTCCTCCAGTATTTGCTAAGAGGTTCATTTGCTTAATTTATTTTAGTAAAGTCACCCAAGTGTACTAATTAAGACTATAGTTTGACATTATTTTATTCAATTAAAGTTATTTAAACTCACAAAGATAGTATGCCTGTACAAAAGTTAAAATTGTCATCTTCAGGTGATATTTGAAAAAAGAATACATTATGTTAAGATCAGTTTTGAATCTGCTATACTTCATTTAACCTTAAATTTATTTTTTATATCAAGAAATTAAAGTTTATTGATATAGAAATGACGATTATTTACAATTTGTATTTAAACAGAACAAAAGAAGAAATTCAGTGTTTATATGATTACAAATGTGCAAATGGAGAGATTAACATGAAACAATGAGTAAACATTTAGGATTATTGATTTATTGAATAATTATACAGAAATTAAGTTAATATAGTTTCATAATGTAAATTTTAAAAATTAAAATGGAAATTATTTGAATTTAATTCTATTGCTTTTTAATCAAATGCATTATGTCAAACTTAGATAAATTGTCACACAAAATGTAATTGTTATCAATCTTAAAAATGTCAATATTTCATTCTATGCTTTTTTCATTTAATATGGGATTAAGCATATTTTCTGTAGTTATTTTGCACATATTTTAATATTCTTTTTCAAATATTAAATTTGCTAATAATGATATTTCTACATAATAGTACAACCTAACCCTGATAGATAATTACTAAAACTTGTCAAAATTTAATGTGTTATAATTGGATTAAATTGTTGCAAAGTTTGAATTGTATGTTAGTTACTATATATTAAAAACATCAAATAATCAAAAAAGTTCAGTAAAATTAATTTTTTAGATTTTCAAAATTGTCTGAAGTTTATTTTCAGTAGAATCTGAACTCATAATGTATGGGCATGATGTTAATTGCATAAATCTGACATATTAGACAAGAGTTATAAATTTAAGTCTTTTCTTGAGACATATTTTTTATATATATTAAAAGTACAGGTAACCCCCGTATAACACGGCATTTCTATAGCACAGATTCACTCTAACACGGTTTGAGAATTGGTACCATCCCCGTATAACATCACTCTGACACTGTTCAAGAATTGGGTAAAACCCTCGTACAACATAAAATGTAATAAATTTTTACATACTTAAGTAATAATAGTTCACAAAAATTATTATTTTTGTAAACTATTAATTAATTTAATTAATACTTAAGTATGTAAATTTTCTTTTCTCGCCTTCTGCCGATACACATGGTCCTTCTCAAAACTTGTTTCAATGTTGCCAGATCTTGACGTTTCTGCTTCTGATGTTGCCGAATGTTTTTCCCTTATTCCATACTTGCTTTATTCTTCATAAGTGCTTAGCACCATATAAGGAAATTTATAAAGATCTTTTAACTAGAAGCAAACAATCTAAAATTACATACTTTTTGCAAAAGGTAGAGCATGGATCTGAAGATAATGCAGAAAAATGCTCAGAGGATAAGGATAACTTGCCAAAAAGAAAACGCTCTCGGTTAATAGTGCTTTTAGTGATGACAAAGAAAACATTGTTTAATTTATATTAATATGTATCACTTGAGAAAATTTTAATAAAGATATTTATCTCAATTATGAAAATATAATAGCATGTTTTTTAATTTTTGGAACCTAACCCTCCTTTTCGTTCTAGTTCTTTGTTTCGTATAACACGGATTCACATAACACGGCAATTTTTTGGAACGTAACTACCGTGTTATACGGGGGTTACCTGTAAATTAATTTAAATTTAATAATTAGAGTTTTTTTTAAGATGATTCAAAAACTATAATCATTAGTTTTAATTATCCTGAATATGGATGGCAATATTTTTGCAAAATACTGTAAAAAGTTTTATTCATTTTACCAAATAAGAAAAACTAACAAATAATGAATGAACTAAGTTATGGGTTAAAAACAGCTTGAATACATCTGCTATGATACACAAAATAGCTTAAATGTACATATTTATTATATAGAAATTTGAAAATGAAATTGGTACCTACTAATTTAAAATACTAATTTAACTAAATTTAATTACTAAATTAATTTTTTTTTTTGCATAGACAATTTTTGTTTCTACATAGATCAACTAATCAAAATTTCATCTCTGTAATAGACAAATCCAGTTCTGTCATAAGAAATTAGAGATTGACTTAAGTTGTATTATAAGTGAACTATTTTGAAATAATCATTGTGTTGTAATTTTATATTTAGTATTTCCATTAATTTGTTATTTAGCTAACATATTTTAAAATTTATTAGAATGTCTTTTAGAATGATTTGATTTTATATCATTTTAATACATTTCTTCATTTGAACTTTTTGTATGGATCTGAAGATATGATTCATTTTGAAAAATGTTTTATCACAATGAAATGATGACTCCTTAAATGCTGTTCTTGAATTTCTCAACCCATTGAGAATGCTGTTGGTTGGTATCAGGATCATAAGTGAAACATCAATTCTTATCTCCTGTAATGATTTTGTCAGACATTTTTCTCTGAATCTGCCATTGCAATGATGGCCTGATAAAATGTGACTTCATTCTTTCTTTGCTCAGCTATTAAGACATGTGAAACAAAATTAACCCACATCTTTCTCTTTCTCCAATTTTTACTCAAAATGTGAAAAACAATGGTTTTGGAAATGTTCAGTTTCAGTTATCATTCATGATGATGATTGACAATTATTCTTAATCAACTCAATGACAGTGGCAATGTTTCCTTTTGTTTGAGTCAATATGGTATGGACATGTCTATACTCATATTTTGTCTATCATGAATACCAGCTGAAGACATTAGACTGATTCAGAACCTCATTATCATACACATCTTTTACCATTTTAGGCTTTTTGTAGTAGAAAAACTCATTTTAAAACAAAATTTAGTTGTAGTTTACTTTTTGAATCAGTGACATAGCAACAGAAATAATTTACACTAGATGTTATAACTTGCATGTTTCAGATTGTATATTAGTGAAATTCTGAAAATGAACAGACAACAGTTGCTATCACTTAATTAGTACAATGTTCAATATATCACTACACTACTGTTTTGGAAAATTAAGTCCTAAAACTTATGGATT